GTTTGAGCGAAAATACTGAACTTTTGCTTGAGCAAACATTTTCGCTTGAGCGAAAGACGCGAAGCCCAAATTCTCCTATAAAAAGATAAGATATGTTTTGAGAAAAGAGAGGGGGTTTTGGGGAGAAGAGGCGCGACTACTGCTAGGGTTTCGTCCAATCTTCATCAATTCTTCACTTCTTCCTCAATTGGAGCATTGTAATGGCCACCATGAGTGGCTAACTTCATTCTTTTGGGATTGAGTGCACTTCCTTTGAACTCTTTTGTATCATGGTGATATTTTGAGATATTAATCTATGTTTTGATGTTGTTATTCTTATTTTTTGTGCCTTGGAATGATTTATTCTTGATGTTTAGGATATTATTGAAAAATATATCTTGAATCCTAGATCATGTTAAGAATATTTGTTACGTTAATTGTCAGGAATGAAATGAATATATCAATTGCTTAACATCTTAAACCTAATGCTGGAAAATCTCTTAATTGTGTGCGAAATCAACATTTATTAGGTTTTCTTATGAATTTCATGTGTGAGAAATCAACATGAATGATTTGAGTAGGTGACATCAACATTGTTAGGTTAATTGATGATCTTATTTGGATATAGCCATTGCAAAAGAGGGAAAAAGAAGGAAGTTAATCTTAAGTGCCTTTAATTGATCTTTTCTAAACAATTTACAATTATTTGTCATTTAATTTCAATTCAACTCTTTATGCAAAACCCATTTTATTTTAATCCACTTAGTAAGCATATAAGTGAGAATTTTCATTAAAACCGTTCCTCGTGAAATTGACTTTTATTTAATCGAAATACTATACTGCGATTGATAATTTTGGTTCGCTTGCCAAATATTCAACAATGACCTAATGGTTTGTCTGATGCTTAAAAAAATATTTTCAAATATTTTTGCAATAGTTAAAAACATTCTTTAGAAATAAATAAATATAATATGAACTATGTAAACAAGTAAGCAAAACATATAATTTTTTATATATTAGTTAACTCAAATCAAGCTACATCTAGATGTCCTCTATGAATTGTTAGAGGGTTCAACTATAACCAATTGATTACAAAATAATTATTATGAACTGTAACTTTTGGCTTATAACGAGTACCAAAGTTAATGTTGGCTACCCTTAAACTATCCTTGACTTAAAGTACAAGTTTACAAAGTCATTCTTTGCGCATCGAGTATTCTTTTTCATTAAGTTACCCTTAATTCTAGTGAGTATTATTTTTTTATTAAACTACTTCCAACTCTAACGAGTACAATAACTTTCTCCAAGTATCTTAAACTAAAGGTTGATGGGATCACAAGTTTCTAGAGTGGATATGATAATTTTCCAATAGACTAAAACTTCAATTTCACATAGTGAAGGATATTACAAGTATAACTTCATGACGTGAAGGATATGTAAGTTTGACTTTTTTTTAAAGCTTAGACACAAAGACTAATGTTCAAATAAGGTTTCGTAGTGTTTCTTCATTTAGAGTATTCATGTTCAAGAATTAGTCTTCTTTATGGTTGAGGTGTTATTTATAATTATAGGCAAAAATAGTCATTAAGGCACATGATTCAAGTATTGAATTTATGTAGTAAAGTTCTGATAGAACTTGTAACCATTTTAAAGAATATGCATCTTTTTGTCGAAGTAAACTGCATGCTCAATAGATATAAAGGTCATAGCATCATTCTACATTTATTATATAATTTAACCAATGTGCAAGCTTGCTTGTGTGTAGAAAATCTCTCTTGATGATCATGCGTTTTACTTTTCTTAGTTTCTCTATATAGTTTTAAATATTTTAAGGGTTACATTGTTAATTGATACACTACCCAAATTATTAAGAAACACATGTTGCATCTATTGACTACATAGTGGTCTATTGTTCATACAAGATCATAAGCTTATAAGACATGAGCTTTCATAAGCATTGGTCGAGTTTGATAACAATAACTACTCTTATGGTTTCATTAGTTGACATGTAATAGTTATTGAGTCTTGTATTCATAGTAGTTATATTGAATAAATTTGATGTTCTACAATGTGATTTCATTTAATATTTAGTAGTTGAGTCCTCATTAGTGGATATTGATGATAAGTACTTCAATAAATTCTTCATTAGATGAACTAATGATATGTAGTTGGTTTAGTATTCATCAAGTGAGTTATAGTTTATCGGCTTTGATTTCTTTAGACAAACTACTAATACTTAGTTAATCAAATATTCATCAGGCTAGGCTACTGACATGTAGTTGGTTAATATTTATTCCTTCAAACAAGATGATGATAAGTAGTTGTTCGAGTTTGATTTCATCATATTAGCTAGTAATATATATTTGATTTTAGTTTTGCTTCTTTAGATGAACTAAGAACATGTCTTTAGATGAATTAAGAACATGTTGTCAAGTTCAATTGTACTTCATTAGACAAAGTTGATGGCATGTGACATTAGTCAAGTCTAACCTTATCAGATGAGCTGATGGCAGGTAGTACGTGACATGTTCTATGTTTGAGTTTTAGCTTTGTTGGATGACATGCATAATCAGCTAGTTTGATGATCATCAATTGGCACACTTAGCACTAGTTGATCTGTTACCCATTTGATGAGATGCTGACAAGTTGGTCAAATGGCTATCAAATGATGTAATGACCACTAGCTGATATAGAGACTATAAGTTGACATACTTAACATTGATCGGTTTGATGACCATTACACTGGATCTTGGCTTATTGACTATTTTGATGAACTCATCAATTGATATGTTAATTAACTCTCTATTGAGTCCCTATATGACATGTTGATAGCTTATATATAATATTTACATTCACTCTTAACATATATATTTAATACAAAAAATTAATTTTATTTATTGTCATCAAAATCATAATTATAGTCTTCATTATATGACTTGAGGTGGTTTGATTATCAAAATCTAATATTGATGAGTCGGCCTTAAGGTCAGTATTTAGAGTTATAGAAATGTATTGTTAGATGATAGTGTGGTACTGATGTTGACAAATTCAATGAGATTTCCTATTCTACTAATAACCAAGTCACTTAAAATATGGTATGAGGTGGTGAGTAATTGACATGTAGATTTGTGATGACTTCCCTTAAGGTTATGAATGGGGAAGAAGATTGAGAGAGTTATTAATCCTCTTACCTTAGTGTGTAGAATAAACTAAATGGTGTTAAGTTTAGAGTTGTAATATAGTAGCAAATTATATTATGATACATATGTAGCAATTTTCAAGTTTAGAACAAAAATATCATGTATTGTAAAAGATATCTAGTTTATAGATTTTATGAAAATGAAATAATATTATATTGTTATGATAAATATGATGTTGAAATTAATATTCTATATGTGATTATTTTGAATTCTTATTATTTTTTATTTTAGTTTTGATTATAATGATTTGTTTATTAAAAAATTAAACATATATAATAAAATGAAGATAATAATAAATAACAAAATTTAATAGTTTATATATTTTATTTTATATTATGTAACTTGAAAATTAAAATTTCATTATGATAAAAATTAAATTATATTTATGTTAAGACAATGAAAGTTATTTATAAGTATAATAATATATTATATTAATATCAAATTTTAGAATAGTTACAAAATATTTTAACGATTATATAAAATAAATAAATAAATAAAATATGATAAAAAAATATAATATTATTTTAAAATATTATTTATTATTAATATCATTAATTATAAAAAAATCATATTTATTAATTTCTTAACTGACAAAAAGTTTCAACGTAAAATGAAATAATGTATTAACTTTTTTTAGCATAAAACGCACACATTTTAATAACTCATAAATTCTTATGGATCCAAAAATTAAAAAAAAATAATTAGTAAAAATATTAAATATAATTTTTTAATTAATACAATTACGTATTTTTGAGTAAAAATAAAATAATGTATTTGTATTGGTAAAAAAAAGTTTAGTTTGATGACATAATATTTGGGATACAAACTTATTTCTTACTTAAAAAGTTTATTAATATATTTCAAGTGTTATATATTATATTAATAGTGATATTTAATTTTGTTATAAAATTTCTTAATGATTATATGAAAATAAATAAATATAATATAATAAAAATTACATAAAAACAATATTATTCTAAAATATTAGTTTTTATTAGTATTATTAATTGTAAAAAAATTGTATTTATTCGGACAGTAAAATGAAATGCTTGAATTAAAGGAATATATTAATTTTTTTAGCATCCTAATTTTAATAACTTTATGAATTTAAAAATGAAATAATTAAATCATACTAATATTAATGCAGTTACATATTTCTGAGTCATAACAAGTAATCTATTTTTTCTTAGTAAATTATTATTATTGTGACATAATAATATATCTGATAAAAATTTATTTCATTACTCCGAAATATTTATTACTATATTAAACTTTTCATATTTCAAATTAAAAAAAGCAATGAACTTTATTGAAGACTTTGAATTTTAAGAATAACATATATTTTAAATTTTAATATAATAATTAAATTATTTTTTAAGTAGTAAAATATTGAAGTGCAAATAAAAAATTATAAAATATAGTTCTTATATAACTTTGTAAAAATATAAAATTATAAAATATAATTTTTACATTAGAGAAAAATTTGTAAAATATATTTAAAGTAAAATCTTAAAATAATATAGCAAAATAAAATATATTTAAAGTAAAATCAGAGTCACATGAGTGCTCCATGGCAGATGATGATGTAATTGAATTTGATGGAAACCCTTCAAACTCTGACTCCTAATTTTTTACTCTTCTTACTTTTGTTACATTGTAACTAGTGTTTCTATCTATTTATTAGTGGTTTGGACTGTGTTTTCTCACTCCAGTCCATTCTCTTTGGGGTGTGTGCCTTCCATTAAAATGACACTGTTTCACCTTCTCTCACACTGAAAGTATTGAAGATTGCAACTTTTCCGGTCTGATCTTTGTTGTGAAATGGAGGTTCGGAATTGTAATGGTTGCAGATCCTGGGTGGAGGACATTTACTGGTCCCATTTTCAATTTCTCCATTTCGCGCAGTTTCTCCGTGCAGATTATGATCAACACCTTGTTAGTATTTTCTCCTTCTCAATCTTTACATGTTGTGAATCAAGAAGTGGAATTTGGGGTTTGATTTGAGTGCATGCACTTCATTCTATGTCCACATTTTTTCACACTCTGTTGTTTCATTCTGTCATCTCTTTTAAGTCAGTTTTCTTTCAGTATTTTTGTATTTTCACCTTCTACATTGCTTCTATCTGTATCAATTATTTTAATAAAAAAATTGAGCTTTGGCTAGCTGGCGTTGTTCATGGTTTTTTTTTTTTTTAAATAAAAATACTCTGGATTATGATATTGTATTGAATCATGAACATTTCTTTTTTAACTAATATTTTTGAGACTGTATTGCAATAGTGGAAAGATGCTTTTGTTGTGATCATGGTAGAGTTGTGACTATGTCTGAATGGTTGTGTCTGAGTTAAGGATCTGGATGAGGGGCCAATAGGAAAAGAATACAAACCAATGAGTTAAAAGACTCTGTGTCTTGTGATGTTGTTCTTGTCTTCTTGTTCTGTTCCTTGTTTGTAAACACTCTAGTTTGCATGCTTGAGATGAAGGGTTGGTTATCAATCAAGTTGTTACGACTAATCTTTGCTATGTATCCTATTCTACCTGCATGTTTCTGCAGCTTATTGCATCTCGTTCTCAATGATGAAATTTGTAGTTTGTTTGCAGGCACTTCCGAAGACATTTTCAGACAATTTAAAGAAGAAGCTGCCTGAAAATGTGACCCTTAAGGGTCCTAGTGGTGTTGCATGGAATATTGCGATGACTACTAGAGATGATACAATGTACCTTGCACATGGTTGGCAACAGTTTGTGAAAGATCACTGTCTGAAGGAGAATGATTTCCTGGTCTTTAAGTATAATGGTGAATCTCAGTTTGATGTTTTAGTATTTGATGGGGGGAGCTTGTGTGAGAAGGCAAGCTCTTATTTTGTTCGAAAATGTGGACACACTGAAGTTGAACATGTGGGCGGAAGTCTCGACAAGAGAAGAGACACAACAGATGGTCCTGTGGAAGAAGGTGGCATCCCTTTAAATGCTGGTGTGGAATGTGCTTCACCTGAGAAATCTGTGCATGCTAATGGTACCAAGCAGCCAATTAGTGTACCCTTTGAAGCTCCTAGTGAAGAGGCTTTCAATGCAGATATTGAATCTGCTGGTGCTGAGCATGTTACCCCTGTTGGAGTCACTCTGTCAGCTGTTCCCACCGGAACTGTTAGTGGGAAAAGGATCAGGAAGCTTGTTTCTGCTGTTAAGCATGTCCAGACCAAGCGGAGGGGAAGACCAGCTAAAGTGACTCATGTTACTGACAGAGCACTTGACTGGGTGTCTGGTAACACTTTTACTTGATAAAAAAACGAAAGGAAATGCTTTTACTACTGTTTTTTGAACTTTTCTTCCTGGTGGTTAGATACAACATTACTTTCTCTCACTTTAGGTGAGAAAGTTATACAAATATCAACATAAGACAGGGCTTGTTTTTTAATATAGATTTATGCGCGCTGAACTCTACAAAAGATACCACCAGATTGATTTGAGAATAGTTGGCTGGTTTTGGCTGTGTAGGCTTCCTTTGTGTTTGTGTGTGTGCGTGTTTTAGTTCAAACTCAAATGTTATGTGATTAGTTTGAAATAACTAATTGATTGTTTGCATGTAGAAAGCATGTGTGGTTGAGATTAATTTGAAGAGATAATCACTTTTTTTTTCATTCAAAATCTCTGGGAGTTGACAATTGAAGTGATTATTTCTTAAAATAAGTTGCACTAGCACAGACTTCTCAGTTTGCAAAATTGATTCAAAATAAAAATAGAAAACAATGGTCTGTTTTTTTAATTGACTTTTTAATCCTGTTGTTTGTTTGAATCGATATTAGGACTAGAAACTGGTGAACCAGTTTCTGCCGTTAGAAGTGGGCCATACGAGTTATATATCTCAAATAGAAGACCTGTTACAGAAGATGAGATTAAAAATACCTTGTCATTGGCCCAGGCAGAACGTCCTGAAGACAGTTTGGTTGTAGTCATGCGACCCTCACATGTTTACAAGAGATTCTTTGTGGTAAATATTTGTCTCACCAACTTTCAATCTTTGATTTTGTCAAGCTAAAGTCAGCTGAGGTTATGGAGGAACTCAATGCATTTTACCTGGTTTTCTTTTTTTCTAATTATTTACAGAAAAGTTTATACAGATAGGGTCATGTTACAGTTTGTGTTAGTTTTATTGGTGTTATTCATTGTAATCCTTTTCTGTGACTAGTCAATGCCTAACAAGTGGATAGGAGAGCATATCCCTCCAATGTCTCAAGATGTGATCTTGCGCATGGGTAAGGGTGAATGGATTGCTAGATACAGCTACCACAATATTCGTCATACTGGTGGCCTTACTGGTGGGTGGAAACACTTTGCCTTGGACAACAACCTGGAAGAGTTTGATGTTTGTGTGTTTAAACCAGCTGGCCAAATGAACGACACCTTGGTAATTGATATGACCATTTTCAGAGTTGTTCAGGAGATTGTTCCTCTCTCTGCTGTGTCTTCAACAGGAAAAAGAGGAGGTAGAAAACCAGCTCAGAATGTTGTTTTGACTGAAACATAGTTTCCATCTTGAGGGTGAATCAATGCATGGCAATGCAAGTTAGATAGTTGTCTCTTAGGACCTAAGACCAAGTTCTCCAGTTGTGTGTATTGTGGATGTTGTGTTGGATTGTTTAAGCCTGTTAGTCTTGTAAGGTAGTAATTTTAACTTCAATGTACCTTTTGTTGATGCTTAGACCTTTATGGTTTAAATATGAACTGATTATCTACTAGATATTTTAAGAGCTTTTAAGATATTGAGTTGAACATAAACAAAAATCTAGGACAATGGAATTTCTTAAGTCTTTTAGTCAGTGCCTCAAACAAATTTATTCAAGAAAATAGATTAAGCTTAATTTGTTTTATAAACTTAGTGTGTAATTGTATTTCTTGTGAATATATGTAGTTACAATGGAAATTTGAGTTGATACTAGAGTGTTAGTGTTTCGTTTGTGACATGAAAAGTCTTCTCAAATTGTTCGAGTATTTCAATTCAAGCAAGTTGATGACATGGAATAAGCAACTCAGAAAAGAATGAAATAGGTCAAAATTTTCTCTATAATTTTTAAGAACATTCTATGTGAAACAATTTTGTACTGAATTGTATATTTTTTAAATTAACATGTTTTGGAAAAATAAGTTTCTCTATCATTACATTAATTACTTTTATTTATTATACACTTTTTACGCATAATTTGTGAAATAAATAAAAAAATACTATACGGTTACTGTGAAAATAAATTAGTAGAAAGTAAAGTGAACTATTTTACAAGAAATAAGAAAATTTATTATATTTTTTATTTCTATGTGAATAAAATCTACCAATTTATTATTATTTTATTTTATTTTATTTTGCTGTATTTACCCTTTTTTTCTCCCTGCATTTCTCTTTTTTTTTTTAAATAAAAAAGTTTAGACTATTAAACTAAATGTCAAAGTTAATAAGAGAATAACTCAAATGTACATGATTAAACACTCTGACTAAAAAATGGAGTGAGGTGGCCATAAAGAAAATTAAAATTTATTTAATAAATATATAGCCATTAAAATTTATGTAAATTTTTAAAAAATATATATGCAATAAAAAAAATCATATTACCTTCGTTAACTTTAGGATAATAAAACAGGTAGGTTCGTTGAGTTAAATTGTCTAAAAAATGACGGGATAGCTTAGTGATTAATTTGGTTCAAGGGTGAGGTTGGATGTACTTGATCCGCTTTAAAATAATATTTATATATTAAAAAAAGTATATTTTTTTATATTATTGAGATATCTAAATATATTATAATTTAATTTATAAAAATTAATTAATTAAATTTAAATTATTATTTATAAGTAATTATTTAGACATATGAATATAATAGTTTTTTTTTAATTTATCTAATAAAAATATTAATTAATAAATAAAACTTAAAATTTTTTCATATAATTAAAAATATATATTTTAAAAAATACATATAAAAATATTTATATAAAAAATTTATTGGCGAGCTGGTCCACTGGTCCGCCAACCCGCCCTTTGACTCGGGTGGACTTAGGCATGGCAACGGGCGGGGTGGGGCGGGTTTTGCCTCCCAATCCCCGCCCCGACATTTTTAATCATCCCCGTCCCCACCCCCGATCCTCGCCGGGTTAGAAATTAAGTCTTCATCCCCGTCCTCGCTGGGTTTCGGTTCTCCGCCCCGCCTCGCCTCGTCCCCGATCTATATTATTTTTAAAAAGATAATTACATTTATAATAAATTAATTTTACTATCTATTTTTTATATATAAATAAATATTTATAATTTTATAATAATTATTAATTAAATATACATTTTAATTTATTATATTTATATTAAAATATGTATATAAAAGAAATATTTAATCATTTTTTATTTATAATATTATTATTATTATAACAGTATTCAAATATTTGAATATTTATAACATTATTATTATAATACTTGTATTGAAACATTTGATTATATATATAAGTTAATTCATTTTGAAGTTGTTATTTAAAAGTATGAAATATATAATTTATAAGGAAATATTTAATAAGTTAATTCTTATTCAATTAGTTCGAAGTAATAAAAGTTTAAATTATCAATTCCTTTAATCCTTTAAAATATAATTATTTTATTAAGATAAAATTTGATATATGATAAATAAGAATAATAAGATAAAAAAATATAACATAATAAAACCTAATAAATATAAATTATAAATAAAATAATATTAGTTACTACTAAGATTTATGTAAAATATATAGAAAAAGATAAAGAATAAAAAAAATTAACTTTGTGTTCATCAAATTGGTTGAAAAGATTGAAAAAAAAACAAATTGATGGGAGAGATTAAGGAAATATAAAAAACTAAAAGGTAAGAGAAAGAATAATGTAATAAATTAATTGATGTAAAAGATTAAAAAAGACAAAAAAAATTAAAAGTGGGTAAAAGAAAAAAAATTGGTCAAATATAAAAAATGACCTTATATGTAATAGAAAAAGAAAAGGAAATATTTTTAAAATATTAATATTTTAAATTTAAATATAAAGTCGGGACGGGGACGGGGTCGGGGTGAGGATTGCATTACCCATTCCCACCCCGATCAACTCGAGTTTTCCCCGTCAAACTCAGGACGGGGACGAGTTTAATTGTCATCCCTAAGCGGATTGGAATCTGTAACATGTCTTGACTATGACAGGCCAACTCATCTTGTCCCATTTTTTGCATATCAAATAGAGACAGGCCAAAATGGGGCGGAATGGCTGGTTTTGCCATCCTAATTAACTTATAACAAATAAATTTTGATATTTATGTTTATCATAATTTTCTTACCCAAATTTCTCATTAATTATTGTCCAAGAATATGTTAAATTTAAATAAAACATAATAATCGTCAAATTATCATTGACAAATATTAATAAATAATATTTAATATGAAAGAAGCATAAAAAAATAATAATAAATTCAATTAAAATTGAGATATAATTATTTATATATTTTTTTAAAATGACAAAGGTAACCTTATTCAAAGAAAAAAATATTAAAAATAAATAAATAGCATTACAATATTTTATCTAGAAACTATTATAAATTTCTTGACATCTATTTAACTTATTTCAATAAAAAAAATCATAAACTAATTTTAGTTTAAAGAAAACTCATCGTAATACTAAGTAGGATGACTTTGACTTTAGATGGGAATTTAGAATTAAAAATTAAATTAGTCATTTTATGTCTATTAGTGTTAAGTGGAATTAAACATATTTATACATTTAGATTAACACATGTAGTTGTTAAAACCAAATTATAGAATATAAATTAACATACCAATAATTATTATGTTACTAATAGATATAAGATGAAAAAAAAATCATGATTCTATTTAGGCATGGTAACAGGGTGGGGTAGGGACGGGTTTTGTCTCTCCATCCCTGTCCCCACTTCTGTCATTAATTTTCGCTGGAGTTAGAAATTAAGTTCTCATCTCCATCTTCGTTGGATTTCAGTGTTTCCTTGGTCATCTCTCGTCCTCGATCTACATTATTTTTTAAAAATTAATTATATTTATAATAAATTTATTTTACTATTTTTATATATTTTTTGTATATAAATAAATATTTATAATTTTATAATTTGTAATTATTATTAATTAAATATAATTTTTAATTTATTATATTTATATTAAAATATGTATGTAAAAGAAACATTTAATTATTTTTCTTTATATAGATGTAAAATACTTATATTATTATTATTATTATTATTATTATTATTATTATTATTATTACAATATTGTATTCAAATATTTGAATACTTATAACATTATTATTATTATTATTATTATTATTATTATTATTATTATTATTATTATTATTATTATTATTATTATTATTATTATACATTTAAACATTTGATTATATACATAGATTAATTTCTTTTTAAGTTATCATTTAAAAATATGAAATTTATAGTTTATAATAAAATATTTAATAAGTTAATTCTTATTTAATTAGTTCAAAGTAATACAAAAATAAATTATCAATTTTTTTAATCTTTTAAAATAAATTATTTTGACAAATAAGAATAATACGAACCAAAAGATATGACATAATAAAATCTAATAAAGATAAATTATTTATGTAAAATATTTGAAAAAAAAGATAAAGAATAAAAAAAATTAACTTTGTGTTCATCAAATTGGTTAAAAATATTGAAAAAAAATAAATCAATTGGAGAGATTAAAGAAATGTAGAAAAGTGAAAGGTAAGAGAAAAAAATAATGTAATGAACTAATTGATATAAAAGATTAAAAAAAACAAAAAAATTAAAAAATGGGCAGAAGAAAAGTAATAATGATAAAATATAAAAAAATTTATCTTATATGTAATGAAAAAAGAAAAAGAAATAATTTTAAAATTTAAATTTAAATATAAAGTCGAGACGGGGACGGGACCAGGAACCGGGTGGAGATTGCATTACTCATCCCTATCCCCGTCCCCCGACTTTTTCAAGTGAGAAAAACCCGAACTCGCCCCTAGTCAACTCGATTTTTTCCCATCAAACTTGGAACAAAAATTAATTGGTCATAGCGGATACTGATTTAATTTTCATCCTTAATTTTATCACTAAACTTTTTTCAACTTCTAAACTTTTCCGTGGATGTACTAAAAGAGCACCCTTTCAAGTTTGGAAACATGTTTAATTATGAATTGAAAGAAAAGGAAATTAACCATATATTTCTTTCATTTATAGTACAATAATAATTTAATTCACATATTTAATAAAAGTAAACTCTTTACAAAGAAAAATATCACTTATAAAAAATCGAATAATAAAATAGTAAAAAAGGAATATCTTCTTTTAGGTTTTTAGAAGTGTAACTAACCCTTTAAAAAAAATTGTAAACGAAAGATATATTAAAAAAAAAAAAAACAAAATCTAACAACTAATAAGTTATTCCAATACTTTGTAGATGTTATGTAAAACAATCAATTAGAATGGAAACTAAAAATTGTACAAATATACAAGCTC